TTCTTAATCTCCATCGCGGTCGAGTTTATCAAAGCAACCTTATAAGGATTCAGATAAGGTGTGGTTTTCAAGTTCAGTTTAGAGATCATTGTAGAAGAGACAGCGTTAATACAACTTCCACTGTCAATAACGACCTTACAGTTTTTGTCTCCAATTTTGGTGAAGTGTGGAAAATGGAAGTCCTACACCAGTCATCGCTAGGTTTTGGTTGGGACAAAGCACATCTAACAACTTGAAGCTCAACAGAATTTTCTTCGTAGAAGAAGTCTTCCTCGTCTTCAATGTGATGAACTAAATCAGTGTCAGATTCTTCCTCTTCTTCTACAACCTCTTCGATTATGGTGACTTTGTATGGACTAGAACACTGCAAGGCAATGTGTCCATAACCGTGGCACCTATAGCACTTGGTGTCATAAGGGGTTTTGGGAGTGTCATGCTTAGAGGTCTTTCCTTTAAAGTCATGTCAAAGTTGGGTTTGGCCAGCAGTCAGTCGGCAAACCACAGGGCCAGTAGGTTAGGCTTGAGATTGACTGTAAGAAGCTCTAAACATGGGTGGGCGGGAGTCTAGATGTTTAGAATGGGAATGGGTCCTAGACTCTTCAAGGTCAAGCACTAAGCTGCAGGCGGCTTCCAAAGTATCAACTCCTCTAGCGAATAACTCATTTCGAAGGTCTTTCCTAAGGCCAGCTCTAAACATAGAAAGAATTTGAACAGGGGTAGTCGTCTCCTCGCCATTGCAATGAAACATGTAATCATAAAAAGTGGAGATATAATCTTTCACAGGTCTACTTCCCTATGTTAGCCTATTCCATCTATCTAAGAGCTTAGGGTAGTACGACGAAGGGAGATACTTTCGCTTGAGCTCTTGCTTCATGGTTCGCCAGTCGGTGATGGGGTACTCACCTCGAGCTTCGCGCATGTTTTCAAGGTTTGTCCAATACTGGCTAGCTCTACTTGTAAGTTTCATCTCGAAGAACCTAACTTTCCTAGTTTCCAAAATGTTATACCATTTGAAATAGTTATCCATCCCTTTGAGCCAATCCAGAAAGATTTGAGGGTCAAGGGTGCCATCATAGGAGAGGGCATCTATTCGAATGTTCTTAAGCAACTGACGTCGTTATCTCTCCAAGTCGGGTCATGTCCTAACAGTTCCTGGTTGGGTCTATGATGTGGACGGTGAGGGTCTCGAGGAGGTCCGTAGTCAGCCCGAGCTTCTTCGACATAAGGAGAGGCAGGTCTAGAAGGTGTATACATCATAAGAGTTCCTATCCTTTCGATGTTATCTAGCCGCTCATCAGTTTGGCGTCGAAAGTCCGCTAAATCAGTTTGGGTGTTTCTAATTTATTGAGTAGCTGCACCTAATTGACCTAAAATAAGGTCTAAAGTCGTCTAAATTTGATCCGGGTCCATTGGTAGATACTAGGAACCACTTAGGGATGTAAAGAGGTGGGGACAGCACTTAGATGCAATGTCAGACTCACTAAAATGTCACTAAATCATGCAGGAAATTACTGGAAAGCAAGCTACAACAGAGACTTAAGTGATCCAGGGAATTAGGAAGATTGCTAGGTTGAGAACATCACTTAAACATTTAAGAAACTAACCTATTGTTCACTAAATGAGTACAAGAAATGCATGGACAGCAAGCATAACAGAGAATTAAAATAATTTAAATGATGATATGCATGCAATAATAAAGATCATGGATAGACAAACCCCTAAGATGACTTCTAGCACATGTTATGCATGTCAACCATGCTCTGATACTAAGATGATGTGATACAATCAGGAGTTAGTGAGAAATTAAAAAGAACAATTGTCTAAAGCTTTCCAATTATAAAATTATCATTCACAACAAAGGGATTTAAAAAAAAAACGTAGTTTTTAACTTGCTTAGGCAAAGAAGTGCAATTTAAATTAACCAAGACAATTCAATCAAACTCCAAAGACAAGAATAAAGTTATCGGCGCAATAACAAAATTCACAATTTAATAATGAGAGGTTTCACCTTGAGGACCACCTCACTCATTCACTCGTGGGGTTAGCGGAAGAAGATGCTCCACACTAGATAAGAGATCACCACTAGGAAGAAGGAGCCCAAGAACTTCGTTGTTGGAAAGGTAGCCAGCGACGGATGGACTGGTTGACGTCCCACGATCTCCCAAGATCTGGTTGTGAGGTGTTCCTCAATTGACGGTGCCAACGTGAAGATGATGCGTTCAATGTAGCTTTCCACGGAGTCGTCGAAGTCCAAGTTGAAATCGAAGAATGGAGATTTGAGAATGTTGGTCAGGCCCAAAGGATCCTCTACGAACCCATGATCAACATCCAGGTCGGCCATGCATGATTGTCTAAGAGAGAAAATAGAGAGTGAGAGGGGAAGGAGTCGGGTAGGTTCGGCCAAGCAAAGGGGAAGAAGGGAAAAGGGTTAAATCTGAAAATAATTTCAGATCTAGTGAGTAATTAGAGATTAATTTATTTGAATTTTGAATTTGAAACAAGTGGGAATTAGGAGGGAAAGTGGGGAAGGGATTGAATTAATTAGATCCTTAATTTAGGGGATCTAATTAATTAAAAGGGGGGAGGGCGGTTAAGGTGGGCGGCCAAGGAGAGAGGGGTAGAAGGGATTTGGGTATTAATGAGGTGGACCCACGCAATTAAGGGGATTGATGATTTAAATCTGAAATTGATTTCATATCTAAATTAATTGGGAAGGTTTCCTATATTGGAGGATCATTTAAGAGAAAATTTGAAATTCAAATAATTGAATTTGAATTTAAACCAACTCCTAAATTAATGGGACCAAATTAGGAAAGGTTTTATGGTGGACTTGAATTCAAATTTGGAGGGGGAAAACGTATGGGGCCGGCGCCTGTAGCAGGGAAGGGGTCCGGCGGGTGGGGTGAACCAAGCGTTCACCGGCCGGTTTGGTTGTAGTTGGGAGGGAGCAGACGGTGGGGATCAAGATGTGGGAGGCAGTCGGTTGGGAAGGTGATGAAAGGGAGGGGCTATCGGTTTGGGAGAAGGGTGAAGAGGGGCGAGGGTTTGGAGAGGGAAGAAGGGGGGATGACAAATAAGAATAAAATAAAGGACCAATAGCTCATCTGTTGGTGGGTTGTTGGGTATTTCGTTGCCCTCTCCTAGGTCTCACTACTCTCATGAACTCATAAAGAGATCAATAAGAAAACAAGCTAGAATTTCACTCATCAAATCCTCATCCTTTTACAATAACAGAGGCCACAATATATAGGCCTAAAGAAATAAAATAACAATGACTCAAATGCCTCTTGGGCTACAACTCAAGAAAACTCAAAAGAAAGGGTACAATCATAAATAGAAAATAAATAAACTACAATACATAAAGGCGTCAAAAATAAAGACTGTGAATCGTAGTCATCAATCTATGACTCCTACACTATAGACTCGTCGATAACGTCTGTCAATGTCCTCATCATAGGACTATAGGTAAGGTGATGACCATATGAATAAATATGTCAAAACCTCTACAGACATTATATGACATTACTAAGACTATGACAAGTAAGAATCAGAATAGAAAATAAAAGTAAAACAAGTATTTTAATATAGCATCTGACTAGCATAGTGCATTGAATGATTGGACAATAGACAATTATATATAATTCATTGTAAACATTCATGCTTATTGCTCATCATTGTGTCCTTTACATGTTCATTATTAATTATGTCTTAATTCGATGTCTCTTGCAATGAGCTAGCTTATATCTATAGTTATTCATACTCATATCAATTTAAAAGATCAAAATGTATAGTATTCTCTTTTTCATGTATTTTAAACGATGTATTAAAATTGTTTATCCCATATGTCTTAAAATATCACCAAATATTATTATGGTTTTTATTTCAGATAATGAAAAAGAGCTGGATGGGCAATAGTAAGGTGATCGAGTTTTGTCCTTCATCTTAGTGTTTTGATGTAAGTTTTCGGTGCATCAACGAACAAGAATGTGTATGATATAAAGAAAAGACATCTAGCATCTATAAATTATCTATGAAATCTACTTCTTTTGAAGATTTAAATTATAAACATTTCCATATGAATGGCTAACTTAGATATATTGGGCGATTCTGAAAAGATTTTTATGCTGCATGGCAAGCTCGGCAAACTGTTTTTCTGTCCACTCAATCATGCTTGGTGGAGTCCGGATGTGTGTTCGAAGAAAATTTGTCTAATGCATTGTTCGTGTCTACCACATCATGTACTTGCCCGAGAGGGGTCAAAATGTGGCATGACACAATTGATCATATAGATGATATATGACGAGTTAGGTTGATTTGAGCCCAGCTAAATCATCTTAGTTTTGATTAGGTTTCCTTGATTCAGCTCGTAACGTCTCGGATCCTTTTGACTATTTTGACCAAGTTTGTTGGGGGTTAATAAGTAAGTTTTGTTGGAAATTTCAGACCATTTTAGTAAGAAAATAACTCGTGATGCATTTTAGGCCTTCTCTGACTATTGCCACTTTAGGGGTGTCGGAGTGAAGCCCTCTCTAGAATGTTATTTTATCACAATCACTCCTTCAAATTTTTTCTGTCAACAAGAAACATAAATCAAGCTAAGAGCACATTAATTAGAGTAAAGTAAATATTATGTTTCATATTGATTAGCTAACTTCCAATTTTTAAACTTATAGGCCCCAAAACTTTATTGAACTTAAACTTGGTATCTTAGCTAGAAAAAACAATGCAATTAGGTTCTTGCCATTAAAATTATGCTTCTAACTATATAATTTTGCAGCTAAAAAGTTTATTGTCTGATACCTTACATCATAACAAAGATGGATTAAGTTGCCTTCTAGCATGCTAAAACTTGAAGAGCCTCAAATTACTACTAAAAGTGAATCTAATTATAAATGTGACCCAATTTTAAGTAGCTATAATAATTTTCCCTAAATATTAAGATATCTCAAAAACAAATCAACTTAATTATAATGTAAGTAGAGAAAACTATGTTTGCATACTTGAACAACCAATTTCGCCAGAAAGATTCAAAAGTCGAACGCAAGGATATCCTTCTACATTAATGTACATTGCCTTCTCGAGGTCAGGTACTGACTCCAATGTGTTAGTTTCTCCTGGAAATTTCCAGCATAACAAACTTTAGTCCACTTGGCTTTAATATTAGTTTCAGGCAACATAAAAGAGGAAAATTAAAAGGAATAAAACTTCATTATTGTAAATTTCATATAAACCCATTGCATTCAATAAGCCAACAGCATTAATAACCATATGGCAACATCTGGGAATGAAGATATTGTATTTCATAAAATTAAAGTCCTTTGGTAAGCCACAGTAACTCTAGAATGTAGATGGTTCTTTTAGTCCAACACACTCGTCACTCAACAGGAAAAAAGCACAAAAAGATGGATTCTTACAACCACAAAAAGGTCAATCCTTATCTTATAAAGGATAATACACCAGAAAGAATGTTCAAAAATAATTTAAAATCCCAAGTATTAAAGAATTTCTTACATCAAAAATAAAAAATCAAAGTTGATCACGAACAAAACCATCTAATCAACAATATCCATTTTCAATAGCTGCCATAAATTTCAGTAAAAACCAACTCAAGGTGTAAAATCCTATGTTCCTAACCAAGTAATGACCACAAACATTTAGATCTTATTTTGAATTCAAGAGAACAACTGAAAACTAAAAAAAAAAAAGAGAACAACTGAAAACTAAAGTTTTATCGCTCAAGTTTTAAGTATAAGAAAATTAGCCAGATATTCTTCTTCTTAGCTCTAAAGTATCAAACTGAATCTAGAAGCATGAAAATGTACATTAGGGTAAGCTGCCCTTTGAGATTAACTCTAATAAGCCTAAGAATTAATGTTACATATAAATTTTAAAAAGTAGAAATGACTAAGAAAGTCAAAACAGTCATGCAAGTTATAGTGTTATACCCATATATACATCAAATAGATTATAGGAAAAGATGATCAACATCAAGCACGCACCACTAATTATAACTACTAACTTATATATTATTAAGAAAAATAGAGAAACATACTTTCCTTTAGAGAAGCAACCATGCAAGTTGTTTGTAAGCACGAGTAAAAGTTGCATTTTAGCAATTGCTAAAGTTTGTGAGATAAATGGTTCCCTTTATCATTCAAGTATCCAATTCAAATTCCTCCTTCTAGTGTGTGACTTGTATATGAGCTGCTTCTCTAGATAAAGCTAAATGGTTCATAATGTGCAGATAAGAACAAACAGAACAAGTTGAACAGCATCACTGAGAACAAAAATAACAGGAAATACAGAATCAAGTTAAAAGAAAAGCAAGACGGCAATGAAGAAGGGAGGAGCATGAGATTTAGACTGAACAATTAAAGATTCCATCCCCTCAGATCTATAGTATTTTCCCACAACAAATCACCAAATAATCAATATGTCTTTCTAGCTGCTAACAGTGGCAAAGAGTACCGATGCTGTTTTGAGCAACAAAATAAGGTAATGGAAAAAAGAGGAGAACTTAATTGAGGAAGGAGATCATATTCAGTGGCAAAGAAACACTTAACTACTGTATTCACCCCCAACACATCCCTGAGGAACATTCCAAAAAATAAAAAAAAAAAATAAGGGAACAAAAATCAAAATAAGGGAACAAAAATCAATTCTTTTAGAGAATAAATCTTACTCGCAAACTCAAGTATCATTGCACCAGGTCTGCATACCTTAAATTTATAGAAAAATCAAAATCCACCCATGTCAAAACCATGCAATATTGGTGATAGAAACCATGTTATCATCCTTAGATTATTTTCGCTAACTTATATACTTCTACATAAGCCAATACCCAGCATCATATTTTCACCACTTCAAAATGAAGCAAATGGGCACACATATTGGATGCACGAAGTCGAACCTAGTGTTCCTAACCAAGTAATGACCACAAACATTTAGATCTTATTTTGAATTCAAGAGAACAACTGAAAACTAAAAAAAAAAAAGAGAACAACTGAAAACTAAAGTTTTATCGCTCAAGTTTTAAGTATAAGAAAATTAGCCAGATATTCTTCTTCTTAGCTCTAAAGTATCAAACTGAATCTAGAAGCATGAAAATGTACATTAGGGTAAGCTGCCCTTTGAGATTAACTCTAATAAGCCTAAGAATTAATGTTACATATAAATTTTAAAAAGTAGAAATGACTAAGAAAGTCAAAACAGTCATGCAAGTTATAGTGTTATACCCATATATACATCAAATAGATTATAGGAAAAGATGATCAACATCAAGCACGCACCACTAATTATAACTACTAACTTATATATTATTAAGAAAAATAGAGAAACATACTTTCCTTTGGAGAAGCAACCATGCAAGTTGTTTGTAAGCACGAGTAAAAGTTGCATTTTAGCAATTGCTAAAGTTTGTGAGATAAATGGTTCCCTTTATCATTCAAGTATCCAATTCAAATTCCTCCTTCTAGTATGTGACTTGTATATGAGCTGCTTCTCTAGATAAAGCTAAATGGTTCATAATGTGCAGATAAGAACAAACAGAACAAGTTGAACAGCATCACTGAGAACAAAAATAACAGGAAATACATAATCAAGTTAAAAGAAAAGCAAGAAGGGAATGAAGAAGGGAGCATGAGATTTAGAATGAACAATTAAAGATTCCATCCCCTCAGATCTATAGTATTTTCCCACAACAAATCACCAAATAACCAATATGTCTTTCTAGCTGCTAACAGTGGCAAAGAGTACCGATGCTGTTTTGAGCAACAAAATAAGGTAATGGAAACGAGAGGAGAACTTAATTGAGGAAGGAGATCATATTCAGTGGCAAAGAAACACTTAACTACTGTATTCACCCCCAACACATCCCTGAGGAACATTCCAAAAAATAAAAATAAAAATAAGGGAATAAAAATCAATTCTTTTAGAGAATAAATCTTACTTGCAAACTCAAGTATCATTGCACCAGGTCTGCATACCTTAAATTTAGAGAAAAATCAAAATCCACCCACGTCAAAACCATGCAATATTGGTGATAGCAACCATGTTATCATCCTTAGATGATTTTCACTAACTAATATACTTCTACAGAAGCCAATACCCAGCATCATATTTTCACCACTTTCAAAATGAAGCAAATGGGCACACATATTGGATGCACGAACCTAGTTAAAAGTTTTAAATTGGTAGAACTATATTTAAAATGTTGATGAACAATAAATAATAGTTTATTTGTATTATTTTTCATATAATTATTTTGTATGAGTTATTGCTAAATTTGTGTGCACATTTGTATGCAATATCCTTATTCATGCATACGGAGTCATAAAACTTCTGTTCGATTTTGAGTATTTCACTCACTCATCTGTTCCATATCTACTGAGCCTGGGATTACGTCAATCAATCCCAGCATAACTTTAGCTTCCCTAGTAATCACTGATAACAGCAATCAATACAAGAAGTTTATCCAAGAATTGTCCTGTTCCATATTTCCCTTTCTCAAATAATTCTCTAAAACCTTGTCTTCCTGTTTTAAAGCATCTCTTTTCCAATTAGTTCCTCAATATAGACTATCATCGCAATCTAAGATAATAATAGTAACTTTTTGCTTGCAAAAACTTTTTTTTTCAGAATCATGAGCCCATTTGTAGCATTAATTTCAAACACCAATTATCTCGCTCTTCTTAAGAATGACACTACAAAGCACATTCAATGCCACCATCGCACAAGCCTGTAAAAGTCAAACTCTCACCAACAATAGAAAAGCATAAAGATTAATAGCAGGCCGATTGAGAGAAACGAAAAATGAGTAATTACAGAAAAAAAAACTTCAATCATGTTGACATTACTTTTCTTCTCTTCGTTTGGTCAAAAATAAACGAGAATCAGCCAAAACGTTGGACAGAAGAGAAACAACAGGTCAATGAGAGAGGAGAAAGATGAGAGACACACCGGCTACAAGGCAGAAGGAACCAACGACGAGTAAGACGGAAATGATGAAGAGGATGAGCGCTCGATCCAATGGGACCAACATGGGGTAAAACCCTAGGGATCGCAGCAGTGTCGTGCTGGGTTTTGATCTGCAGTCGTCGGGGACTCTTCCTCCTTCCACGGTGAATGTTTTTCGCGGAGGCGCACACCACTTGAAACCTTAGAAGCCATCGCAGCCGTTGAGAAATTCCCTTCAGCTCACATTTCTACGATGGCCGCGTCTTCGCTTTTTTCTTTTTCTTTTTTTTTTTTTATTATGTTAAATGTAAGTTTGAAAAAATCGAACCGGATAATGAATCAATATGAGTGGTTCACGGTTTAATCGGTTCGAATCGGGATCGAACTGAATGATGTAATAAATAAAATTTAGATGACCAAAAAATCATATAATAATATAAATTTTTAATTAAAGAATAAATTGAATTCAAACATTACTAATATCTGTATAATTTTAAATTTAAACATATTAAATCTTTAAATTTAATTTAAATTTAATAATAAATTAGCTTACATATAAATTTATAAATTTAATATAAATTATTATTAATTTATGTTAT